ACCCCAGGGGGTTCCTTAATGGCCTGATGAGGTTAAGTTGGGCACGTCCCTCCTACCGTAGGAAGACTCAACACCGGTGCAGAAATCGTATGGAGGCGGTGCTTCTGAGATTATCCTGCTATGTCTGGACATGTTTCGGCTACGCTCTATCTTCCCTCCCAGATCCGCCTGCGCGAGGACGTGCCAGGTCTGATCCCACCCCCTCCCCACGGGGCGGCCAGGATGCCCCCCTGGGGCGCGGCGGCGCGAGCGGGGGCAGGCCGTCCAGACCTCCTCTTGGCGGCAGGGTGGTCCCGAGCGGGAGCCGGCAGCACGGAGGCCCGAGGGACCCCCGGGGCGGTCCTTCGGAGGATGGCGGCCCTGCGGCATCCGAGCCAGGGCTGGGCCCAAATGGTCACCACCCACCAAACCACCCCAACCCAACCCGAAGGCTCAGATTTACTCTCGATTTCCAGTGGGGGGGGTCGGGAAAAATAGGAAAAACATGTGGAACCCTTACCCCCCCCCAGCCCGAAATTCGGGTCTTCGGGTTGGGTTGGGATGGTCTGGTAGGTAGTCAAATGGTGTTTTGGCGATTTCGTGGGCCGTTTTCGTTTCGACTTCGTTTTGCGGCAAGGGCGGACGGAATACAAAAAAAACGAGGGGCAACGGCGACAAAACGAACATGAGAGACGCCGTTCAGGCTCAGCCCTGACCCAAACCGAGTGCCTCTCGCGCCCAGACGAACGGTGGCCAACGCAGTCCGACGCGAGAGGCATTGTGCCAGCGTGCCCTCCTGCGGCACAGACGGGCCCGCATGTGGTGCAAAAGGCGTGGGAGCCATGGGCCCTCCCCGTGGCATCAGTAACAACAGCCTCAATGATGGCATGCCTTCGAGCAGGTCAAATGTGGAGGTTTGGGCCAATCTGCCCTCGCCTTCAACTTGGCATCACCCTCCCCGCCCCCAAGCTGCCGCCCAGTCCCGCCATTCACAGGGGGAGGAGGAGGAAGGAGGGGGTCGACGGAAATGTGCCTGAGTCAACCGATGCCGACGTGATCGAACTGCTCGCTGTCCCCAATCAGAGCCCCCTGGTTGCCGAGAACTTGCACAATCATCGAGCCAGCTCACCACAATCCTCGACGACATACGTATCGATCGGCCTCACGAATCCTACAAAGGCTGGCTCCCGCTTTGCATCTTTATCGGCAGCCTGGGTACCGAGGTACTCAAGACGATTTCGCTTATAACTCTCAACATCCTGAAGGGTGCTGTGGGCAGGCAGAGCTTATCATATACATGACGCCGCATGTGAACACGAACGCTATCGGGATTTGCAGCAGCAGCCGGTCCGCGACAGATCTAAGAGTGCCAGGCGAATCCCCATACAAGTGAGCCCGGGAAAACCGTGGCATGACGCACAAGAGGGGTCATTGCAAAATCATTGCCGTCACGGGCGGCCTGAGCGGGAGCTTCGTTGAGAGGCTTGCGCCCCCAAGTCGCATGAGCAACCTTCCCCCGCCCATCCGTCGCAATCGCCCACTGCCCACCCCGCCGATTCGAACCTAGGGGGAGCAGGTGCGTAGCACGAGCTGTCGCAGAATCAGCGTGACATTTCAGGCTGATTGTGCTTGTGCGCCGTGCCATCTGGGGGCTCCAGGGGGCGAGGGGGAATCTCTCTTGAATGCCTGACCGCGTAGCGATGTGCGCGTGACCGAGGCGTAGGCGGATGGGAGGGGGAGGGGGATGGGGTCGGGGCGGGGGAGGCGGGTGGGAGGGGGAGGAGGGGGAGGGGATGAGGGGAGGGGGGAGGGGCGGAGGAGCAGGGGCAGGAGCAGGAGCAGGAGCAGGAGCAATAACAGGATGAGGAGGAGGAGGTGGAGGGGGAGGAGGAGGATGAGGATGAGGAGGAGGGTGGGGTGGGGGGGGGGGGGGGGGGGGGGGGAAAGGGAGGAGGGGGCATGGGGAGGGGGAGGAGGAGAGGGGAGGAGGGGCAGGGAAGGGGGGGGAGGGGGCGCGGTGGAGGAGGCGGGGAAAAGGGGGAGGAGGGGGGGCGCGGATGGGCAGGAGGGGGGGGGGGGGGCAGAAGGGGGAGGGGATGGGGGAGGGGGAGGGGGGGGGGGGGAAGGGGGGTGGGGGAGAGGGGGGGGGGGAGGAGGGGGAGGGGGGGAGTGGGGGGGCGGCGGCGGAGCTCCATGCGAGCCCAAAGTCAGTTCGGACTACGGAGTGCGGTGGGGTTTCCCCCTTCATTACTGTAAGCTCGGCACCGCGCGACACGTGGGGCACGAGCGGCATGGCCCGAGCTTCGGGCGTAGCCCGTGTGCGGCCCTTTCCGGCAGGTGCACGTGGGATCCACCAGCAAGCAGCAACGACGCGGGGGGCCAAGGGCGAGCAGGCGCCATACCTGGCCGAGGGGGGCGAAGGCGCCCCCCTAGGCGCCCGCGCGCGGACGCCCAGGGGAGGGCGTTTCACGCAGCCCCCAGCCAGGGGCGGCCCCCGAGGGGGGGAGGAGAGGCCCGCGGC